CAGAGGTCAGAATAAGGTATCAGGTCCCTTGGAATGGGAGTTACAGATGGTTGTGAGACCCCGTGGGTACTGGGAACCAGCCCTTTTCCTGCAAAAGCAACAAGTACTCTTAACGACTGAACTATCTTTCTAATCATTTTTTAAAAATTTAAAAGATTTTCCTTTTAAATTGAAGTCTTTATTAACTAGTTCACTGAGGTGTTGTGATATATCTGTTGTATTCTAACATTTGCCACTAGTAAGATACACCTTTTATTATCACTGTTAAAGTATGTAGCTCTGTATTTGAACAAGTAAAGATGACCGACCCAATATTTTCTGCTTATTTTTACAGACTTGTTGATTTTTAAATGAAAACTGCATAACCCTATTACCTCTGTGTGTGTGTGTGTGTGTGTGTGTGTGTGTGTGTGAGAGAGAGAGAGAGAGAGAGAGAGAGAGAGAGAGAGAGAGAGAGAGAGATGGATTATGGAGGGAAGTTAGACACATTATGGTTCTTTTAAAACAGACTCCTACCCTCAGCAGTACCCTCTATTTTTTAGTTTTTTCTTGTGAGAATACTTAGGCTGGGGTCTCACAAGCACTTCAGTTTTTTTTTTTTTTTTTTTTTTTTTTTTTCTTTCTTGTGCTGTAAATGAACACAAGGTATGCCAGGGACTTTGTGTCTCATCCTTTCTCCCCAGGGTACCCGGGCAGCTAGCACTAAGAGCCTGGCCCATATTAAACCCTCATCACCTAGTTTCTGAATAAATGAATCGATGTGGATTATATAAAATCTTGGGAAATTACTGTTTGAGGCAAGGTGTTGGACTGTTGTTTGAAGGTTAAGTAGAACAGTCTTTAACACAACTTTTCTTCAAAATACCTCTTCTTAGACAGTGTACTCTAAGTAATAGTGTTCTCTCTCTCTTTCATACTTTTGTGTGTTTTTTTTTTTAATAATGTTTTTCTTCGACCAGTTTGAGATAGTTTTCTGGACCTTACCAAAGAGTCTTTAACAATGCTTGTTTGTAATTGGCCCACTGGAAACCCTTTAATAGCTTTGAGCTCATGTCAGATGAACACAAGATTTTGGCATTGGTTTTTGTTGTTTTGTATCTTTTCATTCCTGGCCTTTGAACGTTTGGCTTTCATGAATTAACCCCTGTTCACATTTCTATTCTCACTCTCCCGTATCTCATATCTCCCAGCCACCGCCCAGATACTGCTCGGAAGCTCCTGCATCGTTGGGCATATGAGTCAAATGCTGGCCTTGTCTTCTTGTTTCTCTTCTCACTGTTAACTGTCACAGGCTGAATACAATGAAAATTGAATTGGCGGTGGTGCTCACCTGTAATTGCAGCACTCTAGTCAGAGGCAGGAGGATAGCTACGAGTTCCAGGCCAGCTTGGATACCTTTCTGACTTGCACCTTGTATTACTTCATTTGTGGCTCATGCTTGTAATCTCAGCACTTGGGCAAAAGGATTGCCACTAATTCCAGACTAGCCTAGATTGCAGAAGAAATACTGTCTCCAAAATTAAGAAAGAAGGAAGGAAGGAAAGAAAGGAAGGAAGGAAAAAAGAAAGAAAGAGAGAGAGAGAGAGAGAGAGAGAAAGAGAAAGAAAAGAGTAACAAATGACGTTTGTCTAACCAATAAAGTGGTATAAAGTCCATTTGTCACTGGAGTCTGTGCCTTTTCTGAATAAGCATTCGTTTCCAGGTCCACGTGAGAAAGGTGCAGGTGAGCAGTGGCGCGTCACCTGTGTCGTGATCGTCTCTAACCACTCTTATTCCTTCCCGTTTTCAAGACTTGATGCAGAGGATTAGTTGTTAGCCAGTGTGAAACACGGAAGAAAGTCTTGTCAACTCAGTTGTAAAAATGTCCTTCCATCACACAGTGGTTGTCTAACTATGTGCCGGTCTTCACAGATTAAAGCCATGAATAAAGTAACGATGAACCAAAGCTGATAGTCTCCTGAGCACTTCCAGCCTGGAGAAGAGTGAAAGAAAACACCAACTGCTGGGCGATGGTGGCTCATGTCATTAATCCCAGCACTCAGGAGGCAGAGGCAGGTGGAGCTCTGTGAGTTCGAGGCCAGCCTGGTCTACAGAGCAAGTTCCAGGACAGCCAGAACTACACAGAGAAACCCTGTCTCAAACAAAGAAACAAACAAAAAACCACAGAAGGAAGGAAGGAAGGAAGGAAGGAAGGAAGGAAGGAAGGAAGGAAGGAAGGAAGGAAGAAATTTATACTGTTCCTAGGCACCACTGTATTCTAACTTAGTATTTCAGGTAGTTGTTTGAGTGCTAGGATTCAAGGCGTGCACCACCACCTCCCGGCTTATAAATTTCTTAACATCATAATCATGTTACATGTGTCGTTTGTGTTCTTAGAGTCCCCTCCTTGCGTGGCCATTTTGACTGATGCTTGACCACATGGCCAGAAGAAGTCTGACAATTCAGAGAGTCCTCTACCTTTCCTCTTCCTGCCCTTTCCCACACTTAGGGCCTGAACAGCGCAGTCCCTGGCTTCCCATCTGGAAAGAGATGCTAGAGGGGTGAGAAGTATGGAGGTGACACCAAGCCACAGTAGCAGATCTGAATCCCAGACAAAAGGCTCACAGGGAGGCATTTCCTAGTCTGTGTAACACAGCTACTTAAAGTTATGGTGAAGAATTCCTTATGAGATTAAAGAATTTCATTTTTTGCAAAAATTATCAGGTAAATTTAAAATGCTGTTCTTGGCTTATTTATTTTTTGGTGGAAATCTCCTTTCAAGAAAATCGACATATATAAATTAAATTTCTTACTGATTTTATTTTTGTATCTTAGAACTGCACCTAAACTTAAAATTTCATGGCATGTTTCCTCACAGAGCCTAAAATACTCTTTATCCACTAATTCAATGCCTTTAAGCTATCAATTTTTAATCTGTAAAAATTATCCTCAATCATGAAGAATTTAGCATAGTTTGATATAACCTTATTTGTTCCCCATTTATAATTAGTGGGTTTATTTTTGTTTCCTGTGCTGGGGAACAAGTTTTATTATATTTTATATAATTATATATATAGATATATTTTTTTTGTTTTTCGAGACAGGGTTTCTCTGTGGCTTTGGAGCCTGTCCTAGAACTAGTTCTGTGGACCAGGCTGGTCTTGAACTCACAGAGATCCGCCTGCCTCTGCCTCCCGAGTGCTGGGATTAAAGGTGTGCACCACCATCGCCCGGCCCATATTTATATTTTTTTCAAGACAGGGTCTTACGTAGATCTGGCTGTTTTAAAATATTTATTTATTTATTTATTTATTTATTTATTTATTTATTTATTATGTATACAATATTCTGTCTGTGTGTATGCCTGCAGGCCAGAATAGGGCACCAGGCCCCATTACAGATGGTTGTGAGCCACCATATGGTTGCTGGGAATTGAACTCAGGACCTTTGGAAGAGCAGGTAGTGCTCTTAACCTCTGAGCCATCTCTCCAGCCCCGATCTGGCTGTTTTAACACTTACTGTGTAGACCAAGTTGGCCTTGGAGTCACAGTGATCTGCCTGCCTCCTAGATTTTATTATATATTTTAATCAACTATATGTTCATTGATCCTGGGAATAGTATTAGCTATTAAGATTCTTAAAGGATAACATGATTTTTAAAGTGCCTGTTGCCTTCTAGATGCTGAATAATCGATATTTATTGCCTGAACATCGCTTTTCATGTAAACATGGTTTGTAAAAGGCAAAAATCTGAATTATTCTCGTAGAACACAGTAATCTTCTGTCATGATCCTTTATATGGAAGAAACATAAGCGTTTTATTAATTTCTCCACAGTACTGCTGAATTTTCAATGATTTCTGTAAGTCAGGTGTGGTGTATGCCTACAGTCTCAGCATGTGGGAGGGGAGAGCAGGAGGGTCAGAGAGGTCAGCCTGTCCTGCCTGTAACATAATCTCCAAACAACCAGAAAAGCTGTGCATATGTATGGATAGGCAATCTGTCATTCTGTGTGTGTGTGCATGCGTGCTATATGACATGTGTAAGCAGGAGGACAGCTTGTACCATCAGTTCTCTTTCTCACGTGGGTACAAGGGTTGAACTCAGGTTGTCAAGCATGGTGGTAGTGCCTCTGCCTAAGGAGCCATCTTGACACCCTAAGGATATTTTCTTTTAAATCTATAATAGTGTTATAAAAAATAGTATTAGATTTACATACTTAATAAATAGGAACACATAAATAGGTGGTTTTTTGAAATTTATTTTTTATAGACGCACACACGATTAAGTAATTATGTGTTGACTTTCTTTGATTTACTTTGAAGCAGAGGTAAGGAGTATCCAGCCTTTTGGCATTGTGACATGAAGCTGTCTATAAATGCCTTAAAGGGTCACAGTGGCAAATACAGACGCCATCCAAGGAAAGCACTGGAGAAAAGTGGGCTAGAGGGAGATTAAGGAGGTGATGAGGTCTGCGCCAAAATACAATTTATATAGCTTTACTTCGATAAATTCCGATTAATAATAAAAGAGTCTCATCTAAACAGAAAACCTTTACCACTGACGTTACAGTCTTTGTTTATATTCATTCAATGATATTGTTTTCTATAAAAGTATTTTTTGTCATTATTGTGCTTATCTTTCAATATAGTTTATGGGCCATATGACAGTTCACCCCACCCCACCCCCACCCCCGGCCCCAATAAAGTCAAATGAGGTAAAACCAGTCCTCTTGCTGCATTCTGGAATATTTTCCTCTTAATTCTTATTAGTCTTTCGACCATGCTCAAGACAGAGTCAGAGTGGAAAGTGGAGAGAAGGGGGTAGCCTGGCCTACCGTTGCTGCAGAGCTTTGTTATCAGAATGTGAGTTAGGAGCGGAGCATGGACACAGTGGTGGAGCACGTTTCTGGCATTGGGGGGGCCTAGAGTTTGAACAGCAAAAAATCTGAAAGCATTAAAATGTGACTACCAGGGTTCCTGGATCCACAACTAACACCGTCCACTCTGCTTGTGTTTGCAGCCTGAGGAAGAACCTGATCCTGAAGAGAGGGACAACTTCCTGCAGCAGCTTTATAAGTTTATGGAAGACAGAGGTATGTCATTTTGTGGCTTTATGTTGAGGTATGTACATTGTTTCTGCTGTATTGGGAGTGCCGCATAGTCCAGTGAAAGCCTACGGATCAGTCATACCTGATGGTAGATAGATATTTGGAATAAAGGCAAACTATTTTAAGTAGAATAATAGGAAATCAGTATTTACATAGTTAAATCTGATCTCCCTGGTATTTATTGGAAGATTAAATTTGTCAGAAGTAGAAAGTGACCAATCATAATATTTCTCTGTGTAGTTATTAACTACAATGGTAATGCTGGACTCAGGCAAGTAAGCCCATGTGATCCTTGGTCTCCACAAGCTAAGGATAACAAACATCGGTTTCTTTCTGAGTGGGACAGGATTTCCACAGAGGTAGAAGAAATGGAACTTTTGGAAATTGTCACACTGACATTTTTTAGTCCTAGAAAATCCTCAGGTAATTTGGCCTAGCCATTCTGGGGTTTTGAGAGGTAATCTCGCAGAGAACCGCATGCAGCTTTCCATGCAGCTAAGCAGCAAGGATGGAGCTATGGCCTTCCTGCTTCATTTGCTCATGCTGTACTGAGCTAGCAATGCCAGCCACACGCAGCAACCTCAGTTTTTCACTTAGTTTTAGCCATTTCACGGAATAGAGGTACCTTGATAGAAGGGCAGAACTTCTGAAATCCATAGAGCCCACATAACAGTATAAGGAGCACAGAGAAGACTTTGTGTCCTACGTGATTGAAGGATTTAAATGCACACCTCCGCTTAGGGGATTTTGCTGAATTGGAGGTCGATAGCCTTACTTTCAGATGAGTAGTTTTCGTGTGAGTGAACTCCTCATTTTTCTCTCTGACATTAAAAAGGTACTCCAATCAACAAACCTCCTGTTCTGGGCTACAAAGACCTCAATCTCTTCAAGCTCTTTAGACTGGTCTACCACCAGGGGGGATGTGACAATGTAAGTAACCGGTGTTCTGCAAGTACTGTTTGTGCGAAGAACACGGAATGCTTAGTGTCCTTTGATAATTATTAACAAAATCTTTTTCAGATTGACAGTGGTGCTGTATGGAAGCAAATTTATATGGACCTTGGCATTCCAATTCTGAACTCAGCTGCTTCCTACAATGTAAAAACTGCTTATAGAAAGTAAGTAGTCCAGCTTCATTAACGAATAAATGTCAGCCAGGCATGGTGGTGGCGCACACCTTTTATCCGAGCACTCAAGGTAGAAGCAGTGGATCTCTTAGGCCCACGTGTTCTGCAGAGGCTTCCAGGACAACCAGGGCTACACAGAGAAACCCTGTCTTGAAAAACCAAAATCATGAACATTTTTAGAGAGCAGGTTTCTTTTAATGCATTAGCACTCCAAACAAGGACCATTAGTGTTCACTGTAGGCTGGGAGATTGAGAGTTTAGAACCCGCTCTCTCCACTTCCCATGTGATGCTGATTTCCTCTTTCAGGTCAGGGGTCAGGGTTCTCATTCGCTGCAGTCCAGCATGTAGGCTGTAGCTCTGGTTGCATACATGTTCTAGATCAGCTGGAGCCCTGGTTACATACATATTCTAGAGATCAGCTGTAGCTCTGGTTGCATACATGTTCTAGATCAGCGGCTCTCAGCCTTCTTAATGCTGTGACCCTTCAATGCCGTTCCTTATGGCGAGGTGACCCCAACCAGAAAATTATTTTTGTTGCTACTTCATAGCTGTAATTTTGCTACCGTTCTGAGTTGTAATGTAAAGATAATAAGTGTTTTCCAATAGTCTTAGGTGACCCCTGTGAGAGAGTCATTCAGCCTTCAAGGGTCATTCAGACCCATGGGTTGAGAACCTCTGTTCTAGAACAGTGTTCTGAGATGGCTCTGTTAAATTGTAACCGTCTCAGGTTCTCTGGACAATATTTTAATTTTTGGTACCTCTGTTTAATTGTATCAAAGACATTCAGAGAGTACTAACAGACAAAGGATGCTTTTTAATTTTTACCATTTATTTACCTTTTATTCACAATAAATGCAAAGACTAGGAGTTCTTAAGATGAAATATTGTGTGTTTAGATATCTCTATGGTTTTGAGGAGTACTGCCGTTCTGCAAATATTCAGTTCAGAACTATTCACCACCATGAACCCAAAGTAAAAGTTGAGAAAAAAGACTTTGAAGAATCCATGGAAGAGGCTCTAAACACGAACCAGGAGATGCCTTTGATGGAGGTGAAGAGTGAGCCCGAGGAGAACACCGAATCCAGCAGTGAGAGCGACAGAGAGGACACAGAGCAGAAGTCTCCAAGAGTGAGTTCTTAGTGGTTTCATCTGCTACAAGCATTATTGTGGACCTTTAACATATATATATGCAAAACTTTGTGACATAGTCCTAGTTTGTGTTATAGTAATTAGTAATGTTGCAATGAGGTTATCATAGCAACCTTTTTCTGGGTACTGTTAACATGTATACTTTCTCTACTTAAAAAGCCCCCCCCCCCCCCAAGGCATGGTGGCTCATGCCTATAGTCGCAGCCTCAGGATCCTGAGGCAAGAGACTCGTCCTGCGTTCAACCTGGACTGCACAGCGTGGTCCAGGCCAGCCTAAACCAAATCATGAAATCCTGTCCTCAACAACCAAACCAAGTGGAAAAAATACACACATGTAAAAAACTCACTGTCTTCTTTCTGTGACAGTCTGCTCAAGTCTCTGTCATTTGACTCAGTCCCATGTACTCTTTCTTCTTGCTAAAATGTTACCTCAATGAAACTTGCACTGGGTTGCACTATTTACAATCGCTGCTTTCCTCCCTTCTCACTCCTGTTAGCTGGAATGTCTGAATTGATTTTTTTTTTTTTCTCTTTCTCTCTCTCTGTACCAAGGTTGCATTGCTTGAAGGCTAGGATGAGTGTTGAATTTGCTTATTGATGAGATCCCATGCTTCTAGAATAAAGATGCACAGCACATAGGAAGTGCTTATTAAATAGTTGAGTATATTGCCTCTTGACAGTTCCTGTGCCCCGACTGTATTTGTTTGTACGTTTATTTTATCTTCATATTCTCTCTCTCTCTCTCTCTCTCTCTCTCTCTCTCTCTCTCTCTCTCTCTCTAACACACACAGATACGCACACCACATGTGTACATGCACACATACATGTTCACACACTGCCCCCTGTATTTCTCTTCACTGACTAAACATACATAAAGGATTACCATTCAGTATTCTGATCCATGCCCAGTGATAGCTACATAGCATGATTTGTCGTTTTATGGATTGCCATATGGTCAATTTTTTTTTTTTTTTTTTTTTGAGGTAGGATCTCACTATTATGTATCTCTAGCTGTCCTGGACCATGCTGGCCTCAGACTCACAGAAATCTACTTACTTCTGCCTCCCTAGAGCTGGGCAGGATTCAAGGCATGCAACCATTATGCCTAACTTTCAGTTTTTAATGTATCCTATTTGTTGGTGAGGCCATATTTAATGGAAAGGAACAGTGAAGTTTTTCAGAAGCTGTGCTTTTTTTTTTTTAAATATTTATTTATTATGTATACAATATTCTGTCTGTGTGTATGCCTGAAGGCCAGAAGAGGGCACCAGACCCCATTACAGATGGTTGTGAGCCACCATGTGGTTGCTGGGAATTGAACTCAGGACCTTTGGAAGAGCAGGCAATACTCTTAACCTCTGAGCCATCTCTCCAGCCCCCGAAGCTGTGCTTTTGTGGAGGGGTTGCTTTTCTCTCTTTTTAAAAGGGTTTATTTATTTTTATGTGTATTGGTGTTTGCCTGCATGTATGTCTGTGTGTGTCACCTGCATATCTGGAGCTCATAGAGGCCAGGAAAGAGCACCAGATCCCCTGGAACTGCAGTTACAGATGGTTGTGAGCCACCATGTGAGTGCTGAGAATTGAACCTTGTTCTTTGCAAGAACATCAAGTGCTCTTAACTACAGAGCAGTCTCTCCAGCATCTAGAATTAGAATCCCTGTTTTTAAACTGACAATTCTCTCATCTAATAAGTGAAATATTTTCATGAGATGTATACATCTAAGTTTTTTATTTTTATTTAAAAGTTTAGTTAATTTATTTCTTTTAGAGAAAGAGACTCATAGCTCAAGTTAGACTCAACTCACTATATAGCTGTGAATAACTTTTAACTTCTGACCCTCCAGCATCCATTTTTCAAATGTTAGGATTACAGGGGTGAACTATACCATGCTTTAATCAACGGTTAGGTTTTTGTTTGGGGGGCTGTGTGTGTGTGTGTATGTGTGCGTGCGCGCGCGTGCGTGCAGTACGTGCACATGTCTGCAAATGCAGAGGCCATAGGAGGATGTTAGATGTCTCGCTCTGTCCCTCTCTGCCTTAGTCCCTTGAAACTTGTTCTCTCACTACCTGTAAGTTGGCTGTAGCCAGTAATTCCTAGTGACCCTGCTGTTTTCCCCTGACCCTTCCTCCAATTCCCAGCACTGTGGCTACTTTTTTTTTTTTTTTTGAGGTGGGTGCAAGGGGTTTGAAAGGAATTTGAACTCAGGTCCTCGTGTTTGCACAGCAAGCCCTATAACATGCTGAGCCACCTCCCCAGCTCCTTACTTACTTTTTTCCTTTTTCTTTTAAATCCCCCAATTCTAAGTAGAGGAGGGATGTGTTCTGCCATCATGGTAGGTAAATCTGCAGAATTGAGGTCTTGAAGAGGCTTATCAGTGTCAAAGCCAGTTGACCTGCTGGCGGTTTGATAGAGGCTACTGGAGACAGTAGTGCCTCTTCCGGTCCAGTGCTGCTCTGGAGACTCACTCAGAGAAATCTCACTTTTTAATTACTTTGTTTGCTTGCTTGCTTTTATGCGTGTGTGTGTGTGTGTGTGTGTGTGTGTGTGTGTGTGTTTGACTTGTGTGTAGAGACCCTCAAAGTCCAGAAGAAGATGTTGGAGCTGGAGTTAAAAACGGTTGTGAGCCACTTGGTAAGAGTGCTGGGAACCAAACTTGGGCCCCGTGGAAGAGCAGCCTGTGCTCTTGAAGCCCCAAAATCTCACTTTTTAAACATTGGTGCCATTGGGTTCTTAGTGTATAATCACACATAAATAAACTGATACTTGATTTTTATTGTAAGAAAATATATTGAAATTTGATTTTTATTTTAATAAACAATAAGATTGGAGATCACAGACCTTTCAAAGAGGTCATAAGTTAGGGGAGTATATTTATAAAGATTATTATTAGTAACAAACATTTTATTTAAAAAACATTTACTCTGTGTGTGTGTGTGAAGGTCAGAGGATAATTTGTGGGGGTCACTTTTCCTTCCACCATGAGTCCAAATAAGTCATGAACCATGTCACCAGGCTTGGTGGCAAGTATGTACCTTTTCTCCTTGGTCCATCTGGCCAGCCCAACATAATTATTAGGAAATGTTATCATTAGCAAATAGATAGTTTAATTTTTTTTAAACCCAAGTTCCCAGGTCTTTTAGAACGGGATAAAGTTATGGGTAGTGCACTTGCTAAGCCTGTCCAAAGCCCTGACATTGCCAAACAGAGTAATGTTGTGAGCAAAGATTTTATGGGGGTTGCTAGGGTGCTAGGTGCTGAAACCAGCTCTTTGCACTTAGAAAAAGGTTCCATTCACACTGAGCTGCATTCCCAGCCCTAGGAGATAAGAGTTTCCTTATAAATACACATAATAACTTCTCCAGGGATCATGGTAGTGTAAGACATAATTAAAATTTACACAGAGAAACCCCGTCTCAGAAAAAAAAAAAAAGAGCGAGATTTATATTGATGAGTCACTTACTTCTAAAAGATAGTCCAAATGAGTTAATTGTTCTGATTCATACTCAAGCCAGGAAGCAGCTTGCTCACTACTGTAGAGGCTTCAGAGAAAGATGCCTTTCTCCATTTGTAGTGTTAGCTCTCTAAAAGCTTTTATCCCCTCTACTAGGGGCGAAGGAAAATTGTTCGAGATGCAAATTCTATTAAAAAAGAAATAGAAGAAGAGAAAATAGAAGATAAATTCATCAAAGATAATACAGAAAATAAGGATGTCGATGAAGACTATGAAACAGCAGAGAAAAAAGAAAATGAGCTGCTACTTGGGAGAAAAAGTACACCAAAGCACAAAGAGAAGAAACTTAAAAGGCCAGAGGCTTCTGAGAAAGACTCAGATGAAGAGGAAGAGCCAAGCCAAGAGAGGTACATTGTCTTATGTCTGTTCTCCAGAGGCCCCTGTCGGGGGTCCAGCAGCACTCTGTTCCTGCTTAGAGATTCAGGTGTGAGGGAATGTCTTCTTATTGGGACTTCCGTTCCTCTTGTCTAATGAAGGTGAGACACATTGTGAAGATGATGTGTATCGCCTTTCGGAATTGGAGAATATACTGGTCGCACCATTTTAATAGCACTTGTGCCCTAAACAGTGGCCTCAAAGAAGGCTGCGCCACGCAGTCAAAAGAAAGGTCCTGCAGTTGACAGCAGGGAAGGGAGCTGGAGAAAAATGGAGGAAGTGGACAAGAGGAAACAGCGACAGCAAAAATTCCATTTTAAAAAAGGTACAATGTGGGAAGCTAACAAACACATGGGTGCAAGTACTAGCAGATGTTTCTGTGTGTTAGCTTGATTTAAGACAGTTTTCTTTTTCAAGTTACTGTATTAGAGTAAGTGGCATGCACCCCTGATTCTAGTTTGGAAAATACATTCTTGCCCCACATCTCATCAATAAATTTCAGCTTTTTAATGTCCATTCTATTTGCTGTTGAGTGAAAACTGTATTTTTTTTCCATGTATTAGACTTGCATGGATCTAAGTGACCTAAAAATATCCAAAAATTAGGCAGTTCAGCTAGATAAAGTATTGTCTCACCATTTCGTATAGTGGGCCATTTTGCACATGTGATCAAATGAATTTACTAATTTTTAGATAGTAATTAAAAGGAAGTTTTAGAACAACACCATAACACACTTACTTGAAAACAGGAACTTTTCTCCAGTTGTTTTTTAGTTATTTTATTACATAATGCTAAGTTTTCTAGAAGTTTGAGATCTTCAGCTCAATTTGGGGACAGTGGGCTGCTGTGCCCGAATGGTAGCTGTCAACATCCACAAATAAACCATTGGGAGCACCGGTGTTTAGGGGAGGAAAGTAGTAACTGGTGAGCAGGAAAGTCTTGATGCTTGGTGGGTCGGCGTGTGAACCGGTGCGGTGTCTTTGAAATAGTCTAGTTTTAAAAAGTTCCGAGTGAAGTATAATTAGGATTTAGAAAGTAGCAGGACATAATTGGGAGCTGAGAATAAGGAGTACAATATTTAAATATTTAAAACACTATCAAGGTGAGCTACTTAAAAGAGGGTCTAATTTTAATATTGAGTCTATATAAATAACTATGTGGCTAAAATACTTGATGCACAACTATTAGAACAAATAGTTTCATCTTCAATGTGAAGGATAATTTTCTATTTTATTAAATAAAAGTTGAGTATACAAACAATTAACAGTACATACTTTCTGTATCAGGAGTCATGGAGATTTTTATTTGTGTTTTGGAATGATTTCTTTGGGATATTTATGAGAAGTGTCCCTGGAGAGCAGATATTCCTGATGCATGAAACCTTCAGCCCTCTCCTGAAGCTCTTGCAGTCTTGTAGAACACCTCCTTCACGCTTGAGGCAGTTGTCTTCTCAGTCCCTGCGAGGTTAATAGGCAGTACACTTTATCGTTACAGTTTCAAAATCTTGCCGGACTTGTAATCCGCATTCCCTTTATGTTTAACAATGGAAATAAGGAAAAGCCGCTGGGGGAGGAGTTAGAATGGGAGTCAACCAAAGCCTAAAGCTTTGTTCTACCATCACTTTCTTATAATTTCAGCAAGTAGCCGCATATGTAAAGCGTAAAACCGTTTCAGAGACACAGTTACTAAGACAGGCAGCCATTTCTCGTTTTTTTACACGCCACACAGTCTGTCTTGCTAAAAATCACTCTAAGTGAGAAGACGTAGTGCTGAAGTAGATTGAAGACAAGTAGTTGCAAGAAGTTACAAAACAGCTTTAGGACATTCTCACGAGTAAGGTGGCACTTGATTATGAATCCAGACGGCCAGCCCTGGGCATATGGTTTGATTTTATTTTGGTTTAAAGTGACTTGTTGACTGCTGTGACTTATTAGCTGTGGTTATTGATTGGCCTTTGGAAGTATGGCTTTACCTTTGTACAGTGCACCTTAGTAAGGAGTCCTTAAAATCTTTTCCTTCTCCTCCTTCTTCTCCTCCTCCACTGACATGTTACTAAGGTAACTTAGGCTGTAAGGACTCTACATGCTGGACTCTCTATCACTGATGATGTTGTTCTCCATTAAGCGATTAGTGGCATTATCAATGTTGTAATTCACTGCAGGGAAGACACTGAGAGCAAATGCGACTCAGAAGGGGAGGATGATGACGATGACACAGAACCCTGCCTGACAGGAACCAAAGTGAAAGTGAAGTATGGACGAGGAAAAACGCAGAAAATTTATGAAGCCAGCATTAAAAGCACCGAGATCGATGACGGGGAGGTTTTATACTTGGTGCATTATTATGGATGGAATGTCAGGTAAGTAATAAAGCGTGTTCTTTTAGGCGGTTAAAAAGAGCAGTGTCATAGGAAGCTCTTGTGTGTGTTTACAAGGCACACCTTGGTTCTAAACTTTTGAGGACTTCTATTTTTGAAGTTATATAAACCGTCACTGCCTCCCAGAGACTAGCAGGGGCTACCATTGGAACAGCTGAGTTCATTACTTTTTTATAGGAGACAGAACATGAGGGGAAGCCGAGGAGCATCACTGTCCCATGGCGATGGCTAAGTCGCCATAATGTGAAAACTCAAGTCCCCACCTCAGGAATTAGGGAGAGTGCAACACTCTGGAAAGCTGTGGAGCAGCCAGGGAGCGAGGCCACAGCTCGTGACTGTGCGCTTCTTTGTTTCCTTTGTCAAAAGGCAAGCCGGTGACAAGCACTGTAATAATTGTGAGTTGTCTAAGTAATTAAAATCTGTACAGGGTAGGACTTAGATTTGAGCATTTGTTATGTTAGGTTTAAGAGTCTTTGTTCTGGATGCACTCAGGCAGGAAGCTGATGTAATTCTGTGATTGGTTCTCTTAGTAAATCTTACCTAGAAAGAGAGAAGGCCAGATCAAAGTTAATCCTATAACTGGTAAAGAAGCAGAGTGATTCACTAGTCAGGGAGAAGATACTTGGACAGTGTTCCCTGTTTTTTCTGTGTTCAGACATGAGTAGGGAGTTGTATTTCTGTTTTGATCCTCTGCTGGCATGGAGCAGTGTTGTCTGGTAATGATGTTCTGTGAAGCTGGTCACGGTCGAGGGAAGACAGCTCAGTCTGGCCATGTGAGTTGGACCAGCAAAAGCAACACTGGGGCCCAGCTGTCCTGAGTCCCGCCTTTCTTTTAAGCCTTTTGAAAGAGTGTGTGTGTGTGTGTGTGTGTGTGTGTGTGTGTGTGTGTGTGTGTGAGGGTGGGTGGGTGGGTGGGTGGTGCAGGATGCTCTGGGTTCCTGTGCAGCCACATTGCTGCATGCCTTTCTATATACGAGGCATGTACGCTTTTCTGACTCCGTCCCCTCATCTCCAAATTGGGGAATTCAGGGTTCTTACTTTTAAGTAAATTGTCAAACTATAATCCCAGTGTTAACTAGCACGTGAGGTGCATAGAGCGATGCCTAGCACATAGGCCATGCTCAGTGTCAGCTGTTAGTGTGACTCTGCAGGGTCTGTGCTCGGAGCCAGCTGTTAGCGTGACTCTGCAAGGTCTTAGAACTAAGCAAAGTCCTTGTATCCCGATAAATTCGGGAGAGACACGACTCCCAACTCTGGCAGCTGCAGCACGTTTTATCCACGCTTCCCTCAGAGTCAAGCTTGTGCACAGCCATCCATTCTGTGTGCAGCCCTGTTGTGCTAGGACCTTTCTTTCCTGTCACCCTTCTCATCTTCTTAGGGTTTCCCTTTAGGACTCTACCCAGTAGTTCTGTCATTGTCCTAACTAGTCACCCACTGATGGCTCACGTGACTTAGTTGTCCATATATCTTCCTAAAAGCTGGTCAAGTCTGACTATCAGAGAATCCTTATGGTTTCTAGATGGTGTAGTCATGTTTCTAAAATGGGAGCATCTGCAAGTGTGAGAGAAGCCCTGACATGGCTGCTAGAAGTACCTGCCTGGCCTACCATTCAGACCAGGCCGGGGTGGGACACACGATTTCCTTCTAGATAGGAACAACACCCATGCTTTGGCCAACGCTATGATGTTTTCTGGGGGGTTCATGGGCAAGGTATTTTCTTCTTTGCAACCCTAGATTAGGTATATATCTTTGTTACTGCATTTACTAGACTGTACTCAATTATACAGTATATCTATTTTTTTTATATCAGACATGAAAGCAAGAGCTTGTTCTATCTATTCTCTGCATATTTTATAATGCCTATTACTTTAGTGGGCCCTCAGTAAATGTCCAAATTAGGAAATATTTATAGGCTGGGTGGTGGTGGCACACACCTTTAATCCCAGCAATAAGAAGGCAGAATTGGGAGGATTTCTGTGAGTTCAAGGCCAGCCTGGTTTACAGAGTGCCTTCCAGAACAGCCAGGACTAAACAGAGAAACCCTCTTGAAAAACCAATTTGAGAGAGAGAGAGAGAGAGAGAGAGAGAGAGAGAGAGAGAGAGAGAGAGAGAGAGAAATGTTTATAAATAAGGTTTTAATAGCCATCTGTTTTCCAGAAGTTTTAGATATTGGATGATCTGCCAGGAAATGGGTTTTCACCTCTAGTGAAGGCATCATGGTACCAGGGCAGCTAAAACCTGTAAACACTTGAGCCATGTGCTTTGCATGTCTCCATGGCAACTAGTTTACAGTATTACTGGATACTGTAAATCACTATGCATTTGTGTAATGCCAGAAGTGTTATTTAGTTCTGGATAGTTTAATGTATTTGTCTCATTCTAGGAATAGGAAAGATTATGCTGAAATTTAAGTGTTTAGAAGGAGCAAGGGAAATGAGTCTTCAGCTTGGGCTAAAGAAAAGAAATCTAAATAAAGGAAATTAAATTAAATACAAATATCTCTAAATATCTTCAGTCTTTTTTTTTAATATCTTCAGTCTTGATAGTGACACATTTCATAATAAAGTTTTACTAGAAGAATAGATGCTCGAGTGCTGGGGAGGACACGCAGGGGACTTGATATGATTGAGAGCTGATGGTTTGCAACTGACATTTTTATGCTATCCACAGAAAGGATTCTAGTACAAGATCTGCTTATGAGTTCAGAGTTGAGAGTTCTGGAAACAAAGCATTTCAAATAGTATAGTGTAGTGTAGTATAGTGTAGTATGGTGTGGTGTAGTGTGGTATAGTATAAATAGATTCAGACCTCTGAATCTCTTAGTTCTGAGAAACCCTTCTTTAGTCATTCTTTCTACTTCCCTCCCTCCCTCCCTTCCTTTCTTGCTTTGGTTTTTGTTTTTTAGAGACAGGATTTCTCTGTGTAGCCCTGGCTGTCCTGGAACTCACTTTGTGGACTAGGCTAGTCTTGAACTTGCAGAGCTCTGCCTGCCTCTGCCTCCCTGAGTGCTGGGATTTATCTTCTCTTCCATCATTACTGGCTCTATCACTGGAGGCTGTACTAAGTACATAGAACAGCTGCTAGCATCCCTTACCAATAAGTAGTTCCTTTGCTCTTTACACCTTTGCCAACACTAGGGACAGGATTTTTATCTGACTGCTGAAGCGTGTGGGGCGTGTGTGTGAATATATTTCAAATAGGATATCATTGTGAAAGCTGAACTTTCTTCTTTAAGGTACGATGAATGGGTAAAGGCCGACAGAATAATCTGGCCCGTGGACAAAGGTGGACCAAAGAAAAAACAAAAGAAGAAAGTTAAGGTGTGTTCATACATTCGTATCATTTATAATAGGTACAGGAATTATTCAAGTTGTATCTTTTCTGTTTTAGAATAGTTTTAGATTCATAGCAAAAATGAAAAGGTCCAGGATTTCTTATGTGCTCTTTGCCCTGCGTGGGTATGGTCTTCTGTACTGTGGGCTCCCACCCTCACCAGAGGGGTCCATTTGTATTGCATCGGGATGGTGTGAGACAACTCTGGGTCTTTGTGCCTTCAGTAGGCTTAGACAGATGTGCGATGCTGTTACCATCATTAGAACTGCACAGAGGACCCATTGCACTGGAGATGCACTGTTCTCCCTCTTCCCTCCACCTCCATCACATCGAAGCTGTCTGCCCGCCCACAGTATCCCCGCACACACCTTCCATCCATAGTTTCTGCTGTGGAGGTCTGCCTAGTGGCTTTCATTTCCTCAGCAGGAAATGTAGAACCAGGGGGGGTGGGTATTGTCATATGAATGGGTTAGAAAACTGTTCTGGATTTCTCTAGATAATCACATATTAGGACTTGACATTTAAATTAACTGATCTTTTATTTTGGAGTTAATCGTTTCTCTTGGAGAAATAGAATGTTCACTTTTAAAGGTCTTGGCCCTTCTCATGCATTTTGTTGTTGTTACCCAGAATAAAGAGGATGGTGAAAAGGACGAAAAGAGGGATGAAGAGAGGCAGAAGTCAAAACGGGGGAGACCTCCTTTAAAATCCACGCCCTACAGTTTATCTAAGGCTGCCAACAGCGAAGGGAAATCAGGTACCAGAGACGCCCGTGGCAGATGACAGGCAGCTCATCTCTCTCAGGGAAACGAGAGACTTGGTTTGAGGATTGTTGACTTTTTTTTTTTTCAGTCTTCCTTCCTTCCTTCCTTCCTTCCTTCCTTCCTTCCTTCCTTCCTTCTTTTCTTTTTACGGATTATTGACTTTTAAGACATTATATATACATATTTATCACTTAACAGTGGGGATCTCATCATTGTACAAATGTCACAGAGGGTGCTTACTAAACTTAGGGCTGAAGTGCTCCTAGGTGACAGAGCTTGTAATAGAGCCACAAATATATGCAGTCATCATTGGCCAAAATATAGTTGTGTTGCCCATGACTAATAAAATAGTCATAGCAGGTTATCTCGATTTTTAACCTAACGTGATTAAACTATACGATTTAATTGGCAGCTAATACTTATTTTGGTGTATACTTTTATTTAAACTCTAGAGATATAAATCAAGATACCCATCTGTCATAAGGATTTTTAGACAAAACTAGTTTAGTCGTGGGGAAGTTAAACAACCCATGAATCTCAGTGTGTGATATGCTCTGCGTCACCTGGTCGTGTTCATAGAACTTGTTGAGAGCAGAAACTGGTGGCTGGAAGAGTCCCCTGTGAAGAGCAGAGGTGACCCTAACCTTAACCCTAATAACTGTGCTTTTTATTTCCCCTCACTTTTCTGGCCTTATTTTTTCTACGCAATCTAAAAGATTTTAAATGGCGATATTATAAAATTACCCTCCTTAGAGCTCAGCTAAAGGTCAGGTTTACCATTAGCTTCAGTGTGCCACCTGCTGGCTGTTAGCATTATATGCAAACACAAGGTTTCTGGGAGGTGTGAGCTTCCATTTCTCAGTAGGTGTTCCCTTAGGGCCTGCACAACCAGCGTCAGCATCACTGAACTGCAGAACTGAAGAATGTTTGGACGCGAGAAAGTGGAATTATACATCCTACTTTTATTTAAACCACAAAAGACTTATATGCTTTTTTTTTTCATACTCATTCATGGGTATGGGGAGGTGGCTTTGTAATTAAGATTACTTGCTGCTCTTGCAGAAGACTGGGGTTCAGTTCTCAACACCCACATGACATTCATAAAGTCTAAAGCTCCAGCTCCCAGATATCTGACACCTTCTTTTGGCCTCCACAGGCACCAGGCATGAACATTGTATACTACATCATGTAAACACTCCTATTCATAATATAAAAATAAATCCTAAGAAAAGAAAAACCAACAAGCAGAAAACATAAAACTTTGTCAAGTATAGTGGCGCACACCTTTAATCCTGGTATTCAGGAGGCAGAGGCAGGTGGATCTCTTTGAGTTCGAGGCCAGCCTGGTCTCTACCAAGGCAGGCCAGGGCTATACTCTGAGAACTTTGTCTTTACAAAAATGAACACATTCGGTGTTTATCTTTTAAAAATTCTCTAGGGAAGATATAAGTGTAAGTGCAAAAATTTTTACATTATATAGTCATACAACTTTAGAATGCTACCTTATATTTGAAAAATTCTCTGCCATGAAGGGAATAATCTGTCTTGCAAACAGGCGACTTGCCTGTGCTTTCTCTTGTGTTAATAAGAACATCTGAAGGCTGGAGAATTCACATTGCCCATTGTAAACATCCCTTCTTTGCAGAACAGTTGTAGGTGGAATGGTGTGCTCCCTTCCTAGAGTACAAAGTGGTAAACCTTTGTAGTAATTCAGGTCAAGTCACTTAACATATTGACCTGAATCTTTTTGTTGTTGTTGTTGTGGGTTTGTTGTTGTTGTTGTTGTTAATTGGTTGGTTGGTTGGTTGGTTGGTTTTTGAGACAGGATTTCTCTGTGTAGCTCTGGCTGTCCTGGAAGTCATTCTGCATACCAGGCTGGCCTCAAACTCACAGAAATCCTCCTGCCTCTGCCTCCTGAGTACTGTGATTAAAGGTGTGCGTCACCACTGTCCAGCCTAACATTGTATCTTAATAAAGTTCATGCTTCTATGCTTCTTCTTGTTTTTTCTTTCTTCTTTCCTCCATCCATCCCTCCCTCCCTCCCCCCCCTCCCTCTCTCTCCAGTTGTTCATTTTTTTGTTGCTGTTGTTGTTTTGAGATGGGGGTTTCTCTGTGTAGCCCTGGCTATCCTGGAACTCATGCTGTAGATCAGGCTGGCCTCAGGGATCTGTGTATTTTTGCCTCCAGAGCGGGGATTAAAGGCATGTGCCACCACACCCAGCTCTTTGCATTTTCTGGTGGTACGGTAGCCTAAGTGTGATACTACTGAAGACAGCTCTTATCAGAACTGACATGGTAACATGCTATGCATTATGTTTTTACAAATTTTGTTTTTAATTGTTTGTATATATACACATGCATACGTGTTTCTGGAGGAAGGAGTATACACACACACGTGTTCAGAGCCCAGTGTGGATAATCTGTAGCAGTGTTCCTTAGGAACTGTTAACTTCTGTTTCTGTTTCATCATATTTGTATGTTTATTTTGGGGAGACAAGTATATGCCACTGTGCACATTTGGAGGTCAGAATTGGTTCTCTCCTGCCACCATGTAGTCCTCAGGATTGAACTCAGATCATCAGTCTTGGTGACAATCATTTTTACCCTCAGAGCCATCTTTCTAGCCCTGACGTTATTTTGAGACATGGTCATTCATTGCTGGTGCTCACTGATTGAGAGAGATTCCCAAGCATCTCCCTGTCTCTGCCACGCAAACCTGGAATTACAAATGACCTTTTTTACATGGATTTGGAGTTATAAGTTCCAGGAACTTGCTCTGTAGACCATGCTGGCTACCCCTGTCTCCTCAGCGCTGGGATTAAATGCGTGCACCATCATGCCCTCTGTCATCCCGTTTTAAGTTTTGTCTTTTCCCTTATATTTTCACACAAATGCTCTTATTTATTTTATAGAAGAAATTTCTATAGAGGTTCAAAAGTATATAAAGGATCCTGTTTAGTAGGATTTTAGTTATTACATTGGTATTTAATATAACCATCTGTGTTATATTACAGACTCTTGTTCATCTGATAGTGAAACAGAAGACCCTTTGGAGAAGAGCTTGATAAGTGAAGAACTTTCTACTGATATTAAAGAAGAATTAGAAAAAAGTGAAAATTTGAATGATGATAAACTAGATGAAGAAAATCCAAAGATTATACATCTATTAAAAGAAAATGACAGGACTCAGATGCAACCCTCAGAGACCCTGAAGGTGGAGGTCGAAGACAATGATCAAATAGTTCATATTTTTGGAAACAAAGTGGAACAAGTAGAAGAAGCTAAGAAACAGGTGGAAAAGTCCCCTAAAGGAAAGGGAAGGCGTAGTAAAACGAAAGACCTTTCTTTAGACATTGTAAAGCTCTCGTCGTTCAGCCAGGAAGAAGCAGGCCCTGAAGCTCATGCAGACACTCCTGGCCTGGAGTTTTCGTCACTAGAATGTAAAAACTTCTCTTCTCCAGAAGATGAGGTTGACCAATATGAAAAAGAGAAAAAGTTGAAACGGAAAATACTGGGACAGCCATCTCCAGAGAAAAAAGTAAGGCTTGAGAATGGAGTGGAAGCAGCAGCTGGCCTATCCCAAGAAAGAGCCAGCGATGGTGCTGGAGCTGAGGGCCGGAGAGGCTTGCATTTCGAGCAGCACTTTGAAAAAGGAAGTGAAGGAATGCCATCACTGATAGCAGAGCCAGACCAGGGCACTCAGGAGCTGACCAGTGAGAAATTGGACAGCCCAGCTGAAGAACCTGTGCATACGCCACTCAAGGAGGAGGAGGACGTGATGCCTCTGATTGGGCCCGAAACCTTGGTTTGCCATGAGGTGGACTTGGACGACCTGGATGAGAAGGGACAGAGCGGTACTGAGGGTGTGGTAGTGGAAAGCTCCGAGTCTAACTCTCTGGTCTCCGTCCCGCCTGCCCTGCCTCCTGTAGCACAGCATAACTTTTCAGTAGCTTCCCCTCTCGCTCTCAGTCAGGACGAGTCCCGGAGTGTAAAGAGCGAGAGCGATATAACAATTGAAGTTGATAGTATTGCCGAAGAATCGCAAGAAGGCCTCTGTGAGAGGGGATCAGCAAACGGGTTTGAAGCCAGCGGTGCCCCTGGTACCTGTAGTTTAATTGTCCAAGAGCGAGAGAGCAGAGAGAAGGGTAAGGCTTTCGAGGGGGAAATTGCTTCTGTGTTAAAACCAACAATTCAGGTTTTAGATGTGACAGTGGTTACTGTTGTCTTTTTAGAAATGGAGAACTGATGTGGACAAGTATGTAAAGGACCTGTCTGCCTCAACCTTTTGGTTTTATGTTTAAGGTTTTTCTTTTCCTTTATTTCAGGTCAGAAGAGGCCAAGCGATGGAAATAGTGGGTTGATGGCAAAAAAACAGAAGCGAACCCCAAAGCGAACAAGTGCTACAGCCAAAAGCGAGAAGAACGGAGCAGGTCAGTGTTTGTCTGTCCAGCCACAGAGGCATGGCGTGACCATTCGAGGCAGTGCAGAAAATGAACAGTGTGTTTATTATGTTCTGAAGATAACTTTTCCATTTTTATATGGGGTGTGTGTGTCTGCTGTGTGCATGCGTTGCATACAAGTGCGTAGATGTGCCACCAAGTATATGTGGAGGCAGAGGACAGCTCTGTGCAGTCACTTCTCTCCTTCCGTCTTTATGGGCGTTTGGGATCAAACTTAGATATTCAGGCTTGCGTGACAAATTCTTCCCCACTTTGCCGTCTCACCAGCCATCCAATTTAATCTGAAAACATCTATTAGTTTTACTTAGAACTGGGATAACTAAAATTATTATTTCATGGAAAGCAATTGAATATTAGAACAGCATTTCAGGATCTTGAAGAAGAGAAAAATAGCATTTATTGTGGTGTTAAAAGTGTGCAAAATTTTATTTCTACTGATAATACTTTCCTTTAGTCAAAAAAGCTTATTTATAAATAGTATAGAAATATTTATTTTATTTTATGTATTATGAATGTTTTGACTACATGTATGTTAATGCACCATGCACCTGCCTGGTGCCCACCGAGTTCAGAAGAGGCACCAGATCCCCAGGAACTGAAGTAACAAGATGGTTGTGAGCCACTATGTGGGTGTTAGGAATTGAGCCTGGGTCCTCTGCAAGAGCAGTAAGTGCTCTTAACCACCGAGCCATCTCCTCATCCTGAAAAGTTAATTCGTAGCAAAAGATATAAAATAGTAAATCAGTATGAATTGATGGGGGAGAGTCTTCTGTTTAGTGTTAATTTAATTGGTTGAAAGAAGCCGAGTAAGGCAGTCTCCATGATCCTCCCACCCGACATAGACGCAGGTTAAGATCTTACCGGTAAGCTACCACCTTGTGGTGGTACACAGATTATTAGAAATGGGTTAAAGCAAGATGTGAAAATTAGCCAATAAGAGGCTAGAACTAATGGGCCAGGCAGTGTTTAAAAGAATGCAGTTTTCGTGCAATTATTTCGGGGCATAAGCTAGCCAGGCGGCCAGGAGCTGGTGCAGCAGGAACACAGCCCACTGCTTCTACTACAATGAATGAATTAGATTATATGAAAAGCAAACACTGTATGAATAGTGTTAAATAGTCAAAATAAGTATGGTTGATTTTTGACAAGTTCGTCGCTAGGCCATGCCTTAGGTAAAACAGCTCATATCCTAATCAAAGGACAGAGTTTATACAGGAACAGACAGACACCTCAAAGGACTTAAGTAATCAGGAGTGTCTTGCAGCTGCATGGTTCAGGACTAAGGAAAAGAGAGTGACGGGAGAGTGGACTGGATTCGAAATTATAAAGGGGGGGCTGGAGAGATGGCTTAGAGGATAAGAGCACTGGCTGCTCTTCCAGAGGTCCTGAGTTCAATTCCCAGCAATCACATGGTTGCTCACGACCATCTGTAATGAGATCTTGTGCTCTCTTCTGGCCTACAGGGATACATGCAGGCAGGATATTGTATATATAATAAATAAGTAAATCTTTAAAAAATTATAAAGGGAATATGCATAATTTTATAGCTTATAAACCTGTAAGATACCACCTTAGTGTAATCCAAGTGAATACTCTCTCAGCTGGGCACTGTAGCATATGATTTAATGTCATTTGCATTTGGAAGGCTAAAGCAGGAAAATTGCAAGCTTAAGGCCAGCGTTGGCTACATAGCAATGGGACAGATTAAAATCATGTCCTACCAGACAGAATGCAATAAGAAGAGAATAGCAACAACGTCTGAAACAGTCCCATCAAAGATGGCATAGTGTGAATCTAATCCACACCTCAGGACCACCAACAAACAGCCTGGAGGATCCTACACAGGAACAGAGGAACAGGCGTCTACTAGTCAGGCCTGGAGGATCCTACACAGGAACAGGCGTCTACTAGTCAGACCCATAAGGTCATGAATGCCATAAGAAGAAAAATGTTTGGGATTAAAAGAGACTTTAGAGACATGTTTGTCGCTAAGTGCATACATGCTTCTCACCTGGATCTTGCTCTAAAGGGTACTGTGGATCATCAAGTGAAGGTCTGAAAGTTGCAATCTGTGAGTTCTTGTGTAGGATAACTGATACGAGTATTTTGGCTTAAAATTAAAGTCTATGAATTCATTGCTCTGTCCCTTTAAGAAGTGAAACCTAACTTCCCTCCCCTGGACTGAGATGAGCGCAGTGATTCATGTCTAACAGAGTATAGTGATGTCATGTGACTGTGATGGGTAGCGTTGACTGCCAGCTTGACAAGATGTAGAATCACATAAGACAGACCTGGGCACAGCTGTGAGAGATTATCTAGACTCAGTTCTCACACTGATCCACAAGCTCGTGTAAAAGGCCAGGTGTGTTTCTGCACACTTTGATCCCAAAGTGTCTGGGGAAAGCAGACAGGCAGGTCCATGGCTTTCACTAGCTAGTCAGCCTTGACAAATCTGTGAGTCCCGGTTCCCAGCAGGAGACTGTTTCAGAAGACAAGGTGGACAGCTCCTGAGGAGCTCCACACATGTGAACACACACATATACAGAAAAGAAAAAGAAAACAAGAAAAAACCCAAAAGTAGAATTACGAGGTGAAATCAGTAGTATTGGGGTTGTATGGATTAGCTTATGATGTTGAATTTGGTCCATATTGAGTTCTAGGCACAGTTAGAAAAAGGAAAGGAGTCAGAATGACAAGACATTTCTTTCTTTTGATTTTCGAGACAAGGGTTTTTCTGTATGTTTCTGGATGTCCTAGAACTCACTCTGTAGATCAGGCTGGCTTTGAACTCAGAGATCTGCCTTCCTCTGCTACCCAAGTGCTGGGATTAAAGGTGTGTCTCCCAGCCTACCCCCAGCTGACAAGACATTTCTTTTTCAAGAAATTTGATGGGAAAAGGTTCCCACCAAAGGGAGCTTACTCCCTTCCTCTCCCTGCGCTCCTCCCGCCCCCACACATATAAGGATGAGGCAGATCTAGACTTTAGAAATAGAAGTCTCCCACAGTTACAGAACATGGGCATTTGACATAGGGTCTTTATTCCAGGAGACCTGGTAGTTGAGCATTACAAAGCAAACTCTTCTTTTGAGGATGAGTAATAATCATAATGCAACCATTATAATTAAGACCCAATAAGGGGCCAGTGAGGTGGCTCAGTGGGTAAAGCATTTGCCATGCAATCCTGACAAGGTGAGTTCTGTCCCAGGATGCAGAAGGGACTTCCGCATATCCTCCACAGCATGTACCCTGTCTTCCACAACCTCCACACAGCAATCAAATTTTTCCTTTAAGGGTGGTAAGGACATACAGATATGGCAGATGCAGGAGAGGAAACAGACTGGGAAACTGAGTGTCTAATCTTTAGCTTTTGAGAGTAAAGATAGGGTAGGGGTAAAAGGTATATACCTTGAAAAAAACAGTAAAATAAAATTCCAGTTTGTTTTTATGGAAAAGTCAGTAGAGTTCTTAGGATGAATTGGTGAGGAAGGAGGCAGAGTTGGGAATGAATTCTCTCTTGTTAACACATGTATCAGAAATTGAGCATAGACCAGCATGCCTATAATCATAGCACACAGGCAGCTGAGGCAGGAGGATCATGAGTTCCAAGATAGTCTGGACTAGATACTAATTTTTAGGTCAATCTAGGCTATAAAGACTATTTTTTTTAATGTTTTTTATTTATTTATGATGTAATATTTAATGTTTCCTATTTATATTTATTAATGATAAATTTTACATATTTATTTATGATTAAAGGCCGTGAGTGAAAGCACACACCTTTAATCCTTGCACTTGGGAGCAGAGGCAAGCAGAAATCTGTTTGAGGCCAGCCTGGTCTACAGAGTGAGTTCCAGGACAGCTAGGGCTATACAAAGATACCCTATCTTGAAAAAAAAAAAACTTAAAGAAGAATAGTAAAAAGATAAACATTGAACATGTTTACAAGATCTGTGTGTGTTCTTCATACACAGTTGGGTTGGTTCTCCTTCAGGTGTTTTTATGTTTTGTTACCACACACATGGAGCTACAGGATATTGTGTTGTAACTCTGTGCCGCAGGCCGACGTCTGAAGGTGATAGACCTTAGAGCCACCGCAGTGCCACCTTACTGTGACATTCCTTTCGTCATCTTGCTTCTGCCGCTGAGGCTAAAGAGTATATTTTCCCCTTTCTCTGTTGTGATCTTTGTATATGTGCTCACCTGTGTGATACCAAGAAGTGTCATTGCTTCTTCTGTTGCATCTCGGTGTTTGAGGCTGTTCATCATGTGTAATTGGAGTGAACTTATTACAGGACAAAGCAGTGACAGCGAAGATCTCCCCACCATAGACAGTTCCAGCAAATGCACGCCAGTCAAGCATCTCAGCCTGTCTAAGCCGCAGAAGCTGGCTCGCTCCCCTGCAAGGATCTCGCCTCACATCAAAGATGGAGAGAAAGAGAAGCACAGAGAAAAGCACCCAAATTCATCCCCCCGGACATATAAGTGGAGCTTCCAACTCAGTAAGAACCTTCCAGATAGCCTGACTGTACTGTGAAATGTGACATTTCTTGACTTAATGGAATGATGCTAGTAATCATGAACAAATTATATACCCACTGCAAATCAATAATCATTAATTGTATGTAAATCTGCTTTTCTTTTCAGTTTAGAAACAAAACATGAGCTGAGTGTGTGGTTCACCCCTGTAACCCGGCGTTCATGAGATTGAAGCCGGAGGGGCATAAATTTGAGGGCAAGTTGGGCTACACAGACTCTGTCTGAGGTCTCAGTTATGTAAGTCAGTGAGGTGGAGTGCTGACTCTGAAGATGCTAATTACATCATAGGTCCGACTGCCTTCTTTTAATGTTCTTAATGTTTTGTGATCATTGGAATGATACATGGTTTTTTTCTTAGATTTATTTATTTGTTCATTTATTCAATGTGCACTGGTGTTCTCCCTTTATGTATGACTGTGTGAGGGTGTCATGTCCCCTAGAACTGAAGTTACAGACAGTGTGAGCTGTCATGTGATGCTGGGAATTGAACCCGGTTCCTCTGGAAGAGCAGCCAGAGTTCTTAACCACTGAACCATCTCTCCAGCTCCAAGAGTAATGCATGCTTAATATAGAATATAAGGCTAAAGAACTCTTAGTCATAGATTTAATTTAATTTAATTGTATCTTCTGTAAAGAACTTGTGTTAGGTCACAATACTAAGCTTTTACTGATTTTCAAGTCCCACTTTTTATAGAATTGACTTTTTTCTTATAGAATTACCATTTCAAAATTTAGATTATGTTTATCTTTCCTTTTAGATGAATTAGATAATATGAACAGTACAGAGAGAATCTCTTTTCTCCAAGAAAAACTACAGGAAATCAGAAAATACTACATGTCTTTGAAGTCTGAAGTTGCAACCATAGACAGGAGGAGGAAAAGATTGAAAAAGAAAGACAGAGAAGGTAATGTTATTTGTGTCTCCTTTCATTTTTGGATGTACTCAGGTCATTTTGTAAGTTTATCTCTCAGTTATGTGCAGTAGACGCTACTTTTAGGGATAGCATTGTCCCCTGATGCGGGAAGTGGGTGTATCTGCAGCTGAGTTAACCAGACTCTCTTGAAAGACCTATGTACTATTTTAAACAATCTGTGATTTACTAACCATGTTGGGTTTTCCTGGAGGGCATACTCTGCTCAACAAATATTTACTTTTGTTATTAGGCCTTAGGTATTGTCGGCATTACCTGTTTGAAGCCATAACTTATTCATAAACAGCTATAGGGCAATTGAATGCTGCTCAGCAGGGCTACTAAGCATGTGCCGCTGTGCAGGGGATGCAGAGGCAAGACAAAGTAGACACAGATTTTGATCTCTAGAGTCTTAACATCGCTGGACGGTATGTGCCCTGAGGAACATTGGCAGTCTGGCAGTTAGGTTATTTAAATAATCTTAAGGAGTGTGATATGTGTGCCAGACCTTAAGAATGCCAGCTAGTCAAACATTGGACATGGTGTGTAGCCAAACTCTGCCAAGATATCAGTAAAGGAAATTAAGGTTTGTGCCCTAACTCATTAGTATTCAGATCAGAACAAGGGGAAGTGATCACTCACTAGTAAGATTCTAGGGAGAAATAGCATCCAAGATAATAATGCCAACTGCTAGAGAAAATAGGAAGGGGGATTTATGTGTTGTTTGTGGCAGAACAAATTGTGGTAGCTCCTGTATTAATTACTTTCACATTGCTGTCACCAAAAGAATATAAGAAGGGGGCTGGGCGGTGGTGGCGCACGCCTTTAATCCCAGCACTCGGGAGGCAGAGGCAGGCGGATCTCAGTGAGTTCGAGTTCGAGACCAGCCTGGTGTACAAGAGCTAGTTCCAGGACGGGCTCCAAAACCATAGAGAAACCCTGTCTCAAAAAACAAACAAACAAACAAACAAAAAAGCCCCATATCCAGAAGAAAAAGAAAAATAAGCAGTTACCACAGTAGACAAAAAATAGCAGCAAGTCGGTGTATACCTATAATCCTAGCAGTCTGGATGGAGGCAGGAGAATGGTGAGTTTGAGGCCAGTCTGAGCTGCAGAGTAAGAAAAGCAAACAAAACCCCCAAACCACAAAAACAAATGCCAACATTTCATCTTTAGAAGCTAGGTGTGTGTATGTGTGTGTGTACCCAAAATCTCAGCCTTCAGGAGACAGAGTCAGGATTTCAACCAAGTCAAGGTCAGCTTGGACTACATAGCAAGATCCCATATCTGTAGGACACCGAGCAGCTGCTAGACTACTGTATTAGTGATAAAACAGTGCTAAAGAGCACACTCACTTGCTCTTGCGGTTAAAAAAAAAAAGCAAGCAAGTCAGTTGACATTTTTTAACTGCAGAAAAGCTCTCAAGTTAAGCTTGGGGGTGAGGCTGAACTGCCAGACTGTTTGGAAATGAAACAAGAAATTAGATCATTATATCTACCCTTTAAAGACAGGTTTACCTTTCCCCATCTCTAACTGAAAAAAAGAGAAACTGAATGGAATCGTTTTGAAGGCTCAGGGGCACCAGCTCTAACTAATGGTGATAGATAGAGAAGGGTTAAATCAGAGTTGAATACAGATGGTGAATCGCCCTGTCTTTTTCCCACCCTCCCACTTCTTGAGAAACTTAACCTGCTCCTTCCTGGGAGGAGATGGGGGAATTCTTCTGAAGAAACTAACTATGCCTAGACAAGTGGTCTACTCTAGAAACCAACATTTGGATGCTTCTGATCCTAAAAGCAAGACCCTTGCAAGTCACATGTGTTTCATCCACATTGAAAGATGCAAAGCTCAGACTTGGGTTCTAGCTGACTTATTTTAGCCTTTCCTACATCTGGAACCCACATTACCAGATATTTGAAGAAAATGTTTGTGTAAAGATAGGCCAAAATAGGAGGGGGAATAACCCACAAAACTGTTAGTTTTTAAAAAGTACAAATATACTAAGAATGTAAAGCTGGTCGTATAAGCTCATCAAACCTGTGGTTGTAATCCTAGCACTTGGGAGATGGAAGCAGGAGGATCAAGAGTTCAAGGCCAACCTGGGCTAGGTAGCTGGTTCAAGACTAGCTTGGGCTAAGTAAGACCCTGTGTCCAAGAAAAGGAAAATTTTCAGAGATAAAGAAGGATTTATGAAAGTATGACAGGGGGATTTAAAAAATAGTAAAAAGGGCATGTGTTGTGCTGGAGGAAAAATCCCATCAGAAAGCAAGAAAGATATGGTGGACACCTGCAGTGTCAGCACTTGGGGTGAGAAGGCAGGGAGCTCCACTAGGCAAGCCTGGGCTGCATAGAGGCACCCTAACTCAAAGAGTAGGAAGGGGACAGCCTGAGCTATGTTGTCTCAAAGAAATGGGTTGGTGGGCAGAAAGGAAGACCAGTGGAGTGATGAGGGTAGAGAAGAATAAATAACAGAACAGAACTGGTGAGGAGCTCTGATAGGATTTCTAGAAAGAGCACTGAAGAATATGGGGGAAACTCCTCAGAGAATGCTGGGAATACTCCCAGAGATGATGAGGTGTGTTAGAAGACCATTAACACGCCTTTATGGAGAGTCGGACCATGAACGTAGCACTCCACAGGCTAGAAGTGGGTTCTTAGAGACTTTGGTTCTAAGGAGATGAGGTTGGCTTGCTGAGGCAGGGTCTCTCTGGCCCAGGCCGGCCAGTATGCGTGGGGATTTTCTTTCTCATCCTACCAAGTGCTGGGATTTCAGGTCCAATTTCAGATGCTAAAAGCTTACCATGTAAGAGGTACACACAAAAGAGGTGGTGGACAGCATCCTGTCTCTCAGGCTGGAAACCAGACAGAGAGAACGTGGGCTCCTGCAGACACAGGGTCCTCACATGGCCCTAGGGATGCTGTAGAGTAAGAACAGAAAGGTCATTGCACACAGCCAAACAAGGATGTGGTTATTACAGAAGATGGAGGACGCGGGGCTTATTCATGGTACACAGCTGGATCAAAGAGATCATAGCTCATCACAGAGGGAGTAGTCTGTAGAGAAGCAGTGGAAAGGCCGTAAGCATCCAGTGGGCAAAGGCTATGGGGACACTTTCTGCACACACTGTCAGCCCCTGAGGAAGGCTTTGCCATTTCTTTGAGCCTCACCCTGTCGGGGAACCTTGGCTGTTTTCCCATGGGTCTGAGACTGTGGTCCTTGTCGTGGCTGTCCCCAACAACACACCGTCACTCAGGACTTCGCATTCTCAGGTCCTCCTCCGTTCCCCACAGGGAAACAGAGCAAGGCCGTGGGGTGCCCAGTACAGAGTGTGTTTGCCAAGGAGCTTCTCCAGGATCAGGCTAGAACAGGGATAATTAGAACAGCTGGCTCCGGGGGTGTCTAAATAAACCACCCATACTCACATACCTGCACACCTGATGGGGTCCAGCCGTGTGTAGTGGAATCCCAGCACTTGGGAGGTAGAAGCGAGAGAACCAGAGTGTTAGGTCCTCCTTGGCTACATATCGATGTTGAACCAGGCTGGTCTGTGTGAGGTGATCTCAAAAAACCAAACAACAGAATCTTATTTCTAATTTAGTTTCTATCTTAGGTATCTTTGTGTAATCATTCCTTGATCTAACCTGATTGTGTTGATTCCACAGTGTCCCATGCAGGAGCATCTATGTCATCTGCTTCGTCAGACACTGGAATGAGTCCCTCTTCATCATCTCCCCCGCAAAACGTCCTTGCTGTCGAGTGCAGGTGATGAAAGTTTCCCCACCTTCCAGCAGTTTGCTGCCATGGACTTAAATTACAACACTCTGAACTCCAACTACAGAGAGCACTCAGCTGGCAAAGGACCTCCTGTATATTTTCCAGGATTGTCTGTATCCTCCTCTCTTCTTTTTTACTATTGCAAAAAATAAGCTTATTAATAATTGAAGGTTAGGTGACCTGCCATATTGGTCATAATTTTTCCTCTGTATTTTCTTTTTCTTTTTTTCTTCTTTTTTTTTTTTTNTTTTTTTTTTTTTTTTTTTTTTTTTTTTTTTTTTTTTTTTTTTTTGGTGATAGAGAAAAAAGGGCACTTAGCAAATTTGAATTTGTATGATAAAGCTTTCAGGTGTTCTAGAAATCCTAGACAAGCGAGTGCACGTGATAAACATCAGACCATACCTGGCTGGACAGTGACCGCTGCACTTTCACTGTGTGTGAACATGAACACTTGGTGAGTAGGGGGTTGTTTTGTGTTGTTTTTTATTATTATTGTTGATTTTTTTTTAATTTCATTTTTTTTTTTTTTTGTGGAAGCACTTGCTATGTAGAACTGCCAAAGCATATGTTCAGCAGTGTGCCCGGGCTAAAGTGTATATGGGACAAAATAAGTTGTGAAAGGAAATGTAGTTGACTGAAAACTGCAGGTGTAATAAGTCTTCCACTTTTTATAGGACTTTTGAGCACACAATTATGCAAATATTTTAATGTTTATTAATGTTTACAGTGGAATTGTGAATAAGTTTTCAGTGGACTATCTTATCCCTTGACAAAAATATTTTGTCTTTTTTCTATGTAATTTCAGAGTTTTTATTTTGTTACAAAAATACAAAAATGAAATATATAACAACAATGAAGTTATTTAACAAGATTTCTAAAGCTGAAAATTTTGTGTAAAATAAGGTATTATCTTGCAACTTGTTAAATATATTTATTCAGACATTGGATGGTTGTATTTTTATGTATTTTTTAAAATATTAATAAAATTGAAAAAAAGGAAATTCTAGGTTAATTCACTCTTTGGATGGCAATAGTTGTCAGCTGTCCCTTTTGCAGGAGGTCGTATCTGTAGCCACATGTGCTGCAGGGAATCCAGCAGAACAGCTGTCCGTGGGCATCTGGATCGTCAGCGTGTCCTTGTGTAGAGACTTGGCAGTCCTAGTATCTCAACTGTCTGGAGGATCAGATTCTTGGTTGCCCTTCAGATGCTTTGTCACAGCTTTTTGTTTGCTATACTGCCGAATAAATGACACCTCCCACAGTCGAGATGCACCCATCACGCTGAGCCACCATGTGTGCCCTGTCTGTGGCGTGTTCCACAGGCCGGCGCATGCATAAATAATTCTTCCAGAATCATGTATTTAAAGCAGTTTTGCATATACATTATGTAAAAGATGTGATTTTTTAAAAACAATTTTTAAACTCATGTTTGTACATGAAAAGGGGTTGTTTTGGAGCCGCCTTTTCTGTGGTTCATGTGCTGTAGCATGAAGGCCTGGGTGCTCCAGACCGTGGCAGACAGGCACAACACACTTGCCATGGCAGCGCAGAGCCCCACTGAAATCATTGTCTCATCTTCATCTGCCACATTGTGAACTTGTTATTCAGATTTCTTCCACTTTCTCAGAGAATTAAAACAAAAAAGTACTCTTGTAATATGAACTTTCCTGTCTTTTCTTTGCGAAGCAGAAGTATTTCAATGTAAAATAAAAACGGAGCCCAGTGGGCGTTTCTTAAACATAGGCTTTACAGTTTTAGTTTTCTTTTAACTGATTTTTTCCTAAATGCCAGTAACTTATAGTTGGAAAGTTAGTCTATGCACCTAAACATTTCAGTACATTCTTCAATGTTTGGTTTTGGTTTTTGGGTTTTGGTTTTTGTTTTTTCAAGACAGAGTTTTTCTGTAGCTTTGGAGCCTGTCCTGGAACTAGCTAGCTCTTGTAGACCAGGCTGGCCTCGCACTCACAGAGATCCGCCTGCCTCTGCCTCCTCCAAGTGCTAGGATTAAAGGCGTGTGCCACCACCACCCGGCACAATTCTTCAATTTTTAAAATGCTTCTTGTACTTACTTATAAAAATGAAAGCCCACGGTGGTGGCCTTTAATCCCAGCACTCGGGAGGCAGAGGCAGGTGAATCCCTGTGAGTTCGAGGCCAGCCTGGTCTACAAAAGCTAGTTCCAGGACAACTAGGACTTTTACACAGGAAAACCCTGTCTCCAAAAAAATAAATAAATAAATAAGTAAAGCAAAAAAGTGGCCAGGCAGTGGTGGCGCACACCTTTACACATTTATTTTGAGTTTTTCTAAACTTTGAGTTGATTATTGCATGTGACTGAGGAAGTAAAAATATATATATACAAAGAAATGTATGATCTATAAATCAAGGAATTCAAAATACAGCTTTTTGTATTCTTTTGTGTAGTATTACTGTTTTATTGTTATTATTAAATTTCTAGTCTTTTACTAAGAGAATATTTTAAAAGAATTATGACATCTATAAAATTGGCTTAGATCATAGAAATCCATATGAATTAATTTGCTTATATACTTTCTTTATGGGCCCTATAATTTAACATACCTATATTTAACATCATGCAAAAACAACAGAACTGATTCAATTTATGGAGAATCTTCAGTGTCAGACAGTACATCATGATGCTAAGACTCAGCCACGTGAGTGAGAGATACAGAGGTTCCTGGACTATGTGAGATCACATTAGCTCTTTAATTAAAATACATTTTTTTTCTTCGGCTTTTTCAGGTAGGGTTGCATCAGGCCAGTGCGATTTTAAACTGGCTGTAACTGAGGCTGGCTTTGAATTTCTGGTTCTCCTGCTTTTACCTACCAGATGCTAGGATGACAGGCATGCACTGTTCTACCCAGCTAAATTCATATAACTGCACAGATGCAACACATCTTAACATAGTTAAACAAACACAGCGTAAACACTATTACACACAGTTAATGTGATATTCCACAGCACAAACAAATGCCACCTCTTTGCCCAGTTAAAATAATATTTCACAACGAGCCTCCACCTTCCGAGTGCTAGGACTGCGGGTATGGTAGGCATAATGAAGTTGCTGTTGTCAAGACATTCTAATGTAGACACTGACTAGTTTTAAGGCTGGAGTGGTCTGGGAAGGCTTTGAAGAGAAAACTTCAGTTAAACTGAGTCCCAGGGTGGAAGGGGAATGGATCAGGGAAATGGGAAGAGCCGCGTGGATAGAATGGTGTTCAGAGTGGGCCACAGAGGAGACGTCAATAGAGCAGGGCCACAGTGAGAGCAGGCCTGAGACAGGAAGTGGGTCAGGCGCTCCGGCCTTGCTCCGGCCTTCTTTCCCTCTCCAGTGTCAACCCTGGACACCCGGGGCTGCCTCAGCCACTTTGCCAGGAAGCTTTTTTTTTTTTTTTTTTTTT